ACCAAGAGCATGCTCACCGTAAACTTCGACAAGCATTCGATGCGATTCTGCAGCAGTTTTCTTCAAATGGTAACAGAAAATCAATGCTGTCCGCAAATCGTAGTCTCCAGGCACATAATTCGACATGTTCAACGCTATTAGAAACTATGCTGTTGTATGAAACTTGTATTGTTGTGAGTTGAAAATCTTTATCAGATGTCAAAACAAGAAAATGGCGCCAATGACGCGGTTTGACGGTAACTACATTGACAGCTAGGGCCATCTATGGGCAAATTCCGGTTTCATATTTATATATCTGATAAAAGTCTGTGGTTTTATGGTACCACATTATAGTAGAGTTAATGCTAGTTTCCTTATTCGATGTTAGATGGCGCTGTTACTGAGTTTTTAAGATTTCAATGACGGCTAACGACGCAGCATGGGCATACCTAGAGAGAGAGCTCAAAGCCTTTAAATAAAATTTAAAAAATTTTGATGACGGCCGATCATCAATGCAAAAATTTTGGTATTTTCGCGTACAAGAATAGAAGTATCTTGGTACATGGTACAAGACCATGAAAACTGGTATGTGTACCAAGAAGTTGGTACGTCTAATATTCCTGGATAATTATCCGCTGTTGAACCTGCGCGCGGCTCAGGTGAAGTCGGAGTCGGTCGGGCGGTACCCGAGCGCGTCACCGGCTCTTGGCGGTTTCGCGCGTTGCCGAACAGGGAGTAGTATACAAAAGAGTACGTCCTGGACCGGATTTTTTTCCTGCACCAAAATCAGCTAAAAAAACACCAAAATCATTCATAAAAGCAACAAAAAAGAAGAACTTCTAAAATATTGAAAGAAACTAACAAAATATTGGAAAAAAATACCTTCCAAATATTGACAGAAATCCTAAATTCCAAGAGTGTTAAACTCTGAATCAAGACTAATTATAATACAATGACTAAGCGTCCTTCGGACTTAGCACCCTATGGACTAAGCGTCGAAGCGCAAGCGTCGAAGCGCTCGGATCACATATCACTCAGTAATTAGTCATGTTTAACTGTTATCTTCGTATGGCTCAGGGAGATAACACATGCCTAGTAATCTTGAGATTGCCGGTTCGAATCCCAGCAATTCATGATTTTAGGGTCAAGCCCGAAAGGCACCTGAAAGGCACCCGAAAGGCTTAATCCAAGGGACGCTAAGTCCAAGGGACGCTTAGTCCAAGGGCCGCTAAGTCCGAAGGACGCTTACGAAGTGATTAGATCCTTCTTATTTATCCATTGATTATGTGTATTATCAAAGCCCAGCCATTTAACATAAACTTTATTTCCTTTTCTTTATAGTACCTCAGGGGCCCCTATAAGAGTGTTAAACTCTGAATCAAGCAATGAATTAAAGTTAAATGGAACTAAAAATAAAAAAATCACCTGACTGCATGTACTCAAAATAAAAAAAAAAAACCAGCGCTGGTGAGCACATACCGTCAGGTGATGTTCCTCACAGAGGTTTTTGCTCCCTTCGGCAATGTTCTAGCAGGTCACTGGCACAGTGTTAATTCACTTGTAAACCTGCTTAAGATATATTTTTTTTTCTTTCAATTAATATTTTTTCCATAGTGAAAACATTCTTTTTAATTCGAGTCAAGCCCGAAAGGCACCTGAAAGGCACCCAAGATGCAAAAAGTGTAATGGGAATGTATTTAAACCTGTTGATTATTCTAAATTTAAAACTATGTTACAAAGATTTAAAAAAGAAGACTTACATTTAGTTCTACAAAACGGAATTTATATGTATGAATGGATGGACTCTTATGCTAAAATGTATGAGTTATATTTGCCTAGCAAAAGTTTTTTTTGTTTACTATTGGTCAAGCTATTGTAAGTGATAATTATAAAGATAGAAAATGTATAAATCTTTTAATATACAAAGAGCATGTAGTTGGAATTAAAAATATGAGAGAATGCTTTATTAAAAGGATAAATAATAAAAAAACACAGAAAGCGATACATATGTGAAAAATGCAACGATTCGTTTGAGAAAGAAGAAAAGTATAATGATCATGTTGCTCTGTGTATATATGATATATATATGATGTATGTATACTTCCATATATATTTTATGAAATATTTAATATGTTACCGAGATATTTTATATAAAATGTATATTTTTAATTTACGTATGTTGATTTATTATACATATACTTACATTATATTTATTTTATACATGTATGCACATTACTTTTACATGTACTTGTAAATATTACAAGTAAATAAAATATTAATAAATATTAATTTATAAAAGATAAATAGAGTACAAATTAATCTAACCTAACATAACCTAATCAGTATATATGCATAATATATCAGTGACATACTGGCGATATAACGTTAACATTCTATAGATATCCTTGGTATATACCATAAGATCTTCTCAGTATATACTATGAACTAAAATAGGAGGACATTAGAGCATTCTTAGTACGTACTCAGTACGTCATAGTACGTATTTCGAATGTTCTGAGAATATACGCAATATACTTTTGCGATATACTTCGAACATTCTCAGTATCTACATGTGCTGTTTGGGATCATATAGAGATTTCAGACGAAAATACTAAGAATAATTGTAGATGCGCCGTAGTATATAACCAATGACAACCTCCACAAAGACTTAAATATCCCGACTGTGAAAGAAGAGATAAGAAGAATGGCGTTAAGTTACAAATCTCGTCTCGAAAACCACCCAAACACTCTCGCCAGTAAGTAGTTGCAATCTCTAACTGTAGAAAACGTAGATTAAAACGTAAAACTCTTCAAGATTTATTTTTGAACTAGTAATTTACAAGTATAAGTAGGAGGAATCGTTGGATTCCTACCGAGCCCGCCTGAAGATTCGTATTTACCTATTGATAAATGCCCTTAAATGAGGCAGATGGCAATAATTTATTAGGAGTTAAAAAAAAAATTTATTTATGATTATAAAAAAGCTTTGCATAAGTACATGACTCCATCAAATTAATGTCAATATGATGTTTAACTTTATTCCTGAGATATGACATTTTTCAATTCTTGCATACCGGTGAAACCGAAATTGGTCACATATTATTATACAGTGTTTGTTAATCAACGCCCACTATTTACACAGCATTATTCTTCATTAAAAATAGAGTCGGAAAGTTCTGAGCCATTTTGTCGGAGATCCTTATTTATGGCGATTGCGATTACGTTTGTGATTGTGATTTGCTACGCTCCAATCATACTTGCAATTGGTGGTTTCTGATTGGCTGAGGCAATCGCAATCGCAGCCGCGAGCCA